TTGGTCTTCTATTCATTGTATACTCTTGACTTCAAGGCTTTTTTATCTCCTTCTTCTTTGAACAAGGGCATACACGAGTGGCGTTGGAGGATTTTGGGATATGATGCTGGCGCATGGATAGCAGCGGATGCCGGTGGTTTCCCTTATCTGGATAGCTCTGGCGAGCAGGAACATATAGTTCGCTTATGAGTCTCAATCAAGAGCATAGCACAAAATCCGCTTCCATCATGCGTTGGTGTTGGTGACTTGAGGACCCGGTGGTCGATAACATGCACGCGACGCTCAGACATCTTGGAGTCCTATGCGCAGCTTCGCCGCAACGTGGTACCCATGCACCGCCAACCACGGTTGGCTCCAACTTCCGTACAACGTCCTGCGGCGTAGACACCGCGACCATTACCGCTCGATCTTGTTACATCATTACCTGCATGCGCTCGACCCGAAGTCATCGCCGTACTCAAGCACACTACAACTAGATAAACACACGATGTAGGGTCTGGATGTTTACTGACCCATAAACTACTCATGATGGATTACTCACTTCTTCAGTCATGCACTGCGCTGTCATGAACATCCTCTTTTTCTATGCAAATATCTTTTTCTATTCGCAGTCTTCTTTCTTCATACACTTCTACCCTTCTATTGCAAACATCACTGTCTTAAACCTTCCTGTGATACCAACAACAACTTCATCGAAGCGAACTCTCCAAAGCGACGCATAGCGCACCCAACTCCACACCACCCAAGCACAGCCCCGTCCTTCCGTGCCACAAACTAACACCCACGCAACTCCAACATGGCAGTACTACGTGCCTCCTCGCCCATCGTAACGGCCTTACTAGCTCTGCTTCTTCTACCGAGACCCGTCACAGCTGTGCCGCATAACCACGGGCACAAACACATGCACCGGCATGTATCGTCGGGCAACGATCTTATCACGCTGGGTCCTGAGTCACTGGCGCGACGAGACGCCCCTCTGAAGCTAGGTGATCAGCAGCGCATGAGCAAAGAAGATGTAGAGAAAATGATGAGGAAAGGAGCCTGTGACATGGGTGACTGGCCACTCCCCTCCTCTGTTCCTTTGCCAGTCGTGGAAGAAGACAGCGCTCAACTCAATCTCTTCGCTAGACCCGAAAGCAGTACGCCAAATACACTTACCATGTATAATTACTGCCCTTACGATCTCTACTTTGTCCACGTCAAAGAATACGGCGTAGTGCTTGAAGATGGCGAGGGTACAACACTGCCGGCCGGCGGATCCGCCTCACGGATGCTTGCAGGTACAACGATGAAAGTGTCAAAGTCGAAAGACCTGACATGGCCGCTTCAGATCGAGTACGCCGGTGATTTCTACGACATGAGCTTGATAGACTGCCTCGGCACGACGGACGGAGAGCCCCTCAATAATGCGAGGAAAGTGACGATTACTTCGGATACGAGTCGTTGCGCCGGTCATGAAGCGGGACTACATCTCAGTCAACCAGTGGGTCCTACTTTTCAGTGTGATGCAGATCTTTGGTGCGATAACCAGGCTTTCATGTACGAAGTAAGTCGATGTGAAGTGATGTGGGTCTTGAGTGGCTCGTGACTGACTAGTGGTAATAGGAACAATTGTGCAAGGAACATCCTAATAAGCCATATGACAGGAGCAAGGGAATTTCCATGGAGTTTTGTGCTAGCATGAAGCCTTAGTATTCCGTCAGCTCTGTGCGGAAATGTATTCCTCAATATCTCGTTGCGCCTGCCACTCTCTGCTTTCTGCGGACATGTATTCCCCAACATCTCACATGTCGTGGCGCCTGTCAATCGTTTTGGGTATGGGTTCTGTCTGGCTCATGGGCTGAAGAGTCGCGTATCCCTCATTCAGACGTGCCTCCGCTCTCCTGTCGATACATCATGGAATGAATTCTCTGCCAAGCGTCCTCCTCTCTCTGATATTCTCTGATCAGATATGCTCTGTTCAGCCGACTGTTCAGAAATCTCGTCAACTGCCTCAAACCCGGCTCATCCTTTCCGTGCGCACAAGCTTCCGATTCAACATGTTGAAACAAGCTTGACAGTTTCGGCATCGCCACAACACAAGGGTTGCACAGGAATCTGTCTCTAGATCTTGATTCGCCGTTCTCGAGCAGCTCGGGGCGAGTCCAGTGGGACATGAAATGATGGGATGTGTAGCACCGGGCTGCCAGCTTGTTGAGGTCGGTGTAGTCGATTTGGCTACATGTGCCACGTTCAATATGCTTGATCTATGATGGTGAGCGGCGAAATTGATTCGAATGTGTATATGAGATAGAGATGGGTCCTTACCATGCGGCTATAGGTCATGAACGTGCGGGGGCATCGGTAGCAATCATACCTTCCACGATGAGGAATTAGAATATGCCGATGCTGCGCATCCTCAGTACACCATGCATGCTGACCACGCCAAGCTTGTACTCTACCGGAAGAAAATGATCTGGCGTAATGAGGTGTTTCTCGCGCACAGTGCACACATCGAATTCTTCGACATGATCCCAGTACTCGTCTGATAGAGGATCATAATGCATTCCCTTTCCGTCGTCACATTCCTGGCACACAGCGCGACAATCCTTTTCGCGGCAGTGGTCGAGCAATTTATCCCAGGTAGCGGCATCGAAATTACATTCAGGGCATTTGTTGTGGTGTGGAGAATCGCGGACATGGTGCGCGAGTGCGCGGAAGGTACGGTATGAGCGGCCGCAGCGCTCACACAGCCTAGTCCTTATCAGTAGAAGAACAACACGCAGAAGGGTAACTCACACAGCCATCCTGACAGACTACAGCCGAGGTTCAGACACCTAGAACTTTAGTGGAGTAGCTTCGTAATGTAGTAAGTGGCAATAAGTCGCGTGAGTGTCGTGTGTGGCCTGCAGTGAGCCGGCCTCGTTTCCGGGTGTTCGTGGGGCTGCACATACCACCTCGCGTGTGTCAAACAAACAAGGGAGACAGCAAAAAGACAAGGCTGCGCCGCTTCCTTGAAAAGGGTGATGGTGATGCATTTAATTCAAGGGCTACTCAGATAGCTTCACCTCTAAGAACTCCATTCCTTGAACGCCTTCTGCTTTTGCCTGCTATTCCACTGTAGCGTCCTCGATATACTATCGATCCAATCCGTTCTCCTCTTGTTCAGTGGCAGCACACTGGGGAACGGGAAGCGACTTGCGCTAATTGTAACGTAGTCGCCAGGCTTGAGTTCGACCCTTTCTCTGCCGTCAAAGCTGGCCCATGAACTCGTCCTCGCATCGTACGGTACACCGCACCGGAGCACTATAGTATCGGGTAGGATGATGGGGCGGAAGGAGAGCGTATGCGCGCAGATGGCGGTAACGAGGACCACAGGGTTGTCGGGGTGGCAGAGCGATCCGCCTGCTGCGAGATTGTACGCAGTCGAGCCCGTAGGCGTAGAAACGCAAATACCGTCAGCCTGCACAGTTGTGAAATGCTCGTCGTCTCCGAACAGCTCGATGGACGACATTGTAGGGTTTGGGCCTCGGTCTACGACCACCTCGTTCAAGATGTTATGTGTACCATCGGAGTAGTGGGTATGGTGGTCGTCGATTTCCTCCCCGATCAGTTCTTCGACCAGATCGCGGCCCTCGCCGTCCCGTTGTTGGGATCGCATGACGGTAGCTTCGAAGCGGAGACGCAGGCTGACGGTGATACCGTCCGCGAAGGCGGTAGATAGGGATTGCGGGTATAGTTCGAAATCGAATTTGGTGAGGAAGCCGAGCGAGCCTAGTGAGAAGGAAATCGTTGGAGGTACGATGCGCTGGAAGAGCCATGACGCATACAAGACTGTGCCGTCACCACCCAGCTGTGTTGTCGTTAGCCTTGAAGACTCCGCAGTATGACATGTCTTACCGCGAGGACAATGTCAAAGGTTTGTGGCTTTTGAGCGCACATCTCGTTGGTCCAGAATTTGAGCCGCCCTTGAAACCCCTCGTTCTCCAACAGCCCAGCAGCGTCGAAGATCTTGTTGTCCTCCAGCGTCTGCTCGACGTAGCTATGTCTCGTTAATCGTGTCCGTTGCTAGGCGAAACTAGCACATACACCGTATGCTCCGAGCTCTTCCGCAGAAGCCAGTCGGTCACCTCGCGCGAGTTCTTGATCAAGGCCTCGTCGTGCGCTTTGCCGAGGATGAAGATGTTCTTCACATGCAGCTTCAGCCTGATCTGTGACAGCTTCTTGGACAGCTCGCGTATTCCAAATGCCATATCTGACAGCTCCTTCTTGGTCAACAGCCGCGAATGTTGCGTCTGCTCCGAGCGCGCCGAGGCTGGGTCTTTGTCGACGCGCCGTTCCTGCGCGAGGCCTTCGTGCGATTGGGAGTGATCTTGTACGGGCAGGCCATCGTGCTTTTCGAGAAGGGAGTGTACGATACACGCGGTGGTACGGCGACCGTTCTCGGGGCGGGACGTCATCTTGCCAGAGGGTGGGGGAGCGAGCGAGGCTTTGCGACGATGGCCGCTATATCCGCCTTCGAAGACGACCTGCGATTATTGGTCAGCGCGTGGAGGAAGGGTGCAGTGGAGTAGGTACCTCTAGCGCATCGTCATGGCTGGTCACCTTGGTGATATTCTTGGTGTCTTGGTCTCCAAGCTCGCTCTCCATGAGGAAGTTAGCTTCAACGCGTCGTTATGACGTTTGGGGTGCATAGGTACCTCGATTGCTTCCTGAACGCCAGGGCTCAGCTGATCGAAATAACTCGTCGCCATGGCTGAAGTGCGCAAATAATCCTGCGATTGAAAGGGCCAAGAGACACGGCTGCCCTTTTGTAGCCTCGCTGTAGCGCGTGCGTAATGTCCAAGGTGCAACAGTAACTGCGGTTCTCGGCCCACTTTCCGAGGGGCAGGCACGCCCGGCCCCGCTTGCTTCCAATCATGTCCGCGCAACGCCGATGAGATCAGCCGCCGGCGTCCTTACTCATGCCTTTTGCTCAACCACCATCATCTTCGTAGTGGTAGTCTTGCTGACAAAGGATGCTAAAGCGGAACTTCCACTGATTCGAGCACTTCCTCAATGACATCCTCAACCGTGACACCTTCGAGGACAGCCTTGACCGCTTCAAGCGAGCTGCCCCATTGCATGCTGCGCTCGTTCTCTGGTGCAGTGATGACAATGCGATGTGGGTATATCTTGCGAGCGGCGAGGGCGATCATGGACGGCGAGATATAATCGAGACCGTGGAGTGGGGCGAGCGTACTACTGGCGTCAGTACCATCTTGATGAGATTGTGGACCACTCACTGTGCCAGCGTGTTGAAGTGTCTTGTGGCCAAAGCAGAGATGCCTCCTGCAACTGCTCGATGCAGTCGCATGAACACAATGATGTTGTATAAATAGGCTCTTACTTCAGAACTGATTCTGACTTGCGACACCAGCTTCGTCAATGTCTCAAGGTCCTGTCCTTGTTAGTACAGAACAGGCATACTACGGTCGACATACATCAGGTAGGAACAATGCTTGTTGCGGCTTATGCTTTCCCGGTTGGAACGGCGGCGTGCGTACCACGGAAGACATTGATGCACCGTCATCTGATGCATGATTCTTTTCTTGCAGCTCTTCAAGATTTGGCAGTCCATCATCTGCTTGATGCTTGTGTGAGATGAAGAACTGATCGTTCTGTAGCATTGTTAGACTTTGTATCTAGATTGTAGGGTAGACCTACCAGATGCATGGTTAATCGCGGTGTATCTGAGGCATTCAAAGCGATGAATAGGAACGGTTTTGGAGCCGCATGTACTGCTGTCCTCGTAAAGTTCCGCTTGCCTCGTATCAGCTGTCTATCGTTAGTTATGCTCGAGCAGAAAAGACGATTAATGTACCTCCAAGGCCTGGATTTGGACCTGCGGATTCGCCCTGTTGAGGTTTCTTGCGATAACTATGTTCGCGATGCGTTGGTTGTCCAATGGACTGAACGGTTTGGATGACCTCGATGTATGTCCGCCAGGCTTCCCAGGTGATACTGAGATGGCCGAAAACTGGCTAAACGTTAGTCGCTGGCAAATCAGTCTACAGGAGCACAAGTTACCTCTCCTCTACCACGCCCAGCTTTGTTGCCGAAGTAGTCGTTCTCTTCTCCTCTCACAAGGATTCCGCTTCCGAAATCGTCCAGCGTGGTGTGCTCGGTGCATTCCAGTATAGCCCATGTTAGTCCGAAAGTATTGGTAGCAACCTATCGTTATAAGCACACAGGCAGTCGCGCAGTGCGAAGCAACTCACAAGTTTCAACTCCTCCAGAACGTCACGGGTCAGTTGCCTTTCCGCTTCGATGATGCAATGTTGATCCGCGACCAAGCAGATGAGAACGGCAAGCTCCAGATCGCTGAGGGACTGCACTTTTTCCGTGATGCGATCTTCCGAAGCTTCCATAGTCGATAAGATCTGGGGAGGCTTTCTTCGTTTTTGTGAAGGTCCTAGAAGCCTGTAAGAAGTCTGGCGACGAAAGTGCTTGGACGCGATGGCTGCTTCCAAAGTCGCGTTCGGTGAGCGAACAGGGATGCGATGCCGCTAGGCCAAGACAGGACTAGACTCGAGTCCCCTGGAAGTCGCGCCCGGGCGGGCTGCATCTCGAGGTCTGCGCAAGAGCAACTTCAAAGCGACAGCTAAGCGTATGCGCACAACACTACACATGCATGTCTGAACGAGTTTCAGATGTTGTTTTCTCTTGATGTTACACTACACAATCTCGTGAAGAGTTATGACAATGCCAGACCGCAGACTCGTCTCGTGCGCCTACCCCAATCTCTACCAATCTTTCGCAACATGTGGCTTCCGCTCGAGAGCTTAGCCAGACTTCTTCCGAGCGCCTTTGGTATCTTCCTTCGGGATGTCGACGAGACGAAGGCTCTTCCAGGTGGTCGACGGGATAGTTTGGGGTAACACTGGAGAGCTCAGGGCAGGGAAAGCTTCCGCTGCCACACGAACTCTGGGAAGCGCTCCGGATATATTGACAACTGGTTGTAGTACGGCTTTGTCATCTGCTTTTTTGTTGACAACAGCTTGCTCCTTCTTGCTCGCGCCCTTAGGCTTGCTCTTCGGCTTCGATCCGCGAGGTGCCTTTTGCGAGAGAGCAGGCTTCAGCTTTTCCAGCTGCTTCTCGGCTTCTCGAATCTTTGCCTCAAGCGCCTCCTTCCTGCCAGCTGATTCGTGCATCTCAGCAGTCGCATTTGCTAGCGTGGTCTGCCAGATGGCTACGAGGCCGTCTAGATGCTGAAGCTCCGCGGCTTGTCGATCGGACGCTGTCGTCGGTGAGACGTCTGGATGTGCAACCGCATGTAGGCCAATGTGGCGTTGCTCAGTTTTGGACTTGTGTTCTTCGGGTAGTGGTTCGTGTTCCTTCTTCAACTCGTCGTGATCCGCCTGGAGTACCGCATTCTCTGTTTGGAGAGCTTGGATGTCGTTGCTGAGTTGGTCATAACCTTGTTGCACAGCCTTTGCCTCGTCATCACGTTCCTTGTACTTCTGCTCCCACTCTAGCTTCGCTTGCTTGAGCAGCGCTTTCTCCCGGCTTTCTTGTAGAATTCTTGCTTCCAAAGCTTCCTTCTCCTCAAGAACCTTAGCGTAACGGGAAGCTTTGGCCTCTGCTTTGCTCAGACGATCGGCGAGCTTGATTTTCTCGTCACGTACGCGTTCTTCAACCCGCTTTTCTATACCTACCCTGTGTTCTTTCTGGAGCTCGTCATACTCTTCTTTCAGGGCCCGCCAATTCTTGTCGAAGCCCGCCTTAACCTCTGCTGTCATCCGTCTTGTGTCTTCTTTATCGCGCATCAGGGATTGAATCCTAGCGGCGGATGCTGATTCCAAGTTGCTGAGTTGATTTCTCGCTTCTTTCAACTTCTGTTGAAGAACCTTCTTTGTTTCAGTCGACGCATTTTCAATGATTGCCTCCAGCAATAACAACACCCTTTCCGCGATCCCGTCTCTTGTGTCGTAAGCCATAGTGTCCCATTGCTTCCGTATGTCCATGAACTCATGGAAATCCCGATCGGATTCGTTCTTCAGGTGTTGTCTGAAAGCTGTATCATGAACCATTTCCGGCATAAAATGGCCTAAATCATCCAGTTGTTCCAATTGCATTTTCGAGCGTGCCTTGTGAGTACTGGCTTTTGTCATGGCGTTGGCCGCATCGTTGAACTTGTTGGGTAGCGCAATAAGAATATTCTTCAGATTGCTGAGTTCCGCGGAGATCTTTCCGTGCGTTTTTTGTTCGAGATCGTCAAAGTGGACTTCGTACTTTCCGAAAGGCGCACGCGGCTGATCCATAGAAGGCCAAACGCTCATGTTGGCCTTCTAGCTCGCGAACAGCCTGCTGAGGACTCGGAGGATTGGGGGTGAGTTGTTGCGGGGGTATTCAAGGCAGGGGAGACACGTAGTTGGATCCGTCTGTGATCGGGCGATCCTATGGAGGTGGGAGCTGAGCGCGTTTGATGATATGTCAGGCGGGAGGGCGCAGTCGCGAGAAGTTAAGGTTGGTTCCAGCGGGGTTTGTTGTAGAACAACGCAATCAGGCAACACGAGATCAAAGCTCTGACCTTTCAGGAACAGGATAGGTAGAATTGGTACGTGCATCTAAAGAGGTGGAGCTCAAGACATGTGTCACATGTTAAGACACAATTACCTTCATTGATATCAACGTCACTAGCGCTGAACATTTCTTACTAAGATAAAATTCAAGCGCGTCACACCAATCCTACATCTGTTTATGACCCGCAGCTATATTACGATCTATCAGCGATGTTGCCTTCCTTGGAAAGTCTGGACGCAAAGACGACCAGATCTTTACAGGCTACAGTAGCAAGACTTGAACCATTTAGTTTCCAACCCATCGCTACATCGTCTCTTGATGATGAGCAACATGACACAGTCAAGCCCGATGACCACTACCCTACGACTGCAGATTCTCAGGTCAGTCCATATGCATCTCAATCTAGCAGCGAACTGACCGACATCAAGACCGACACAGACTGCGCATTCTGCACTTCCATTGGCCGTATACTCAATTGTTGCCAAGCTCGAATGAACCCGCGCTCATGTCCTCAATGCGCGAAACTCGGTCAACACTTCACTCGAAAAGATACCAAGCACACCGAAGAGCTAGCTGCTTTGCGCGACAAGGTGCGGGAGCTGGAAGAGGAGACACCGGAGCAGAGGTTCAACAGGCTGAGCGTTGAGAAGAACATAAAGATTGATGGACTCAAAGCCGAGGTCGGGAAGGTCAACAAGGAAGACGAGTCACTGAAGGCGAAGAACGATGAGTTGGAGAAGAAGCTGAAGGTACTCGAGGCAGATATAAAGAAGTCACAGCCAGCGGCGGAGTTCACGATCAAGGAGAAGAAGAAGAAGAAGAAGAACGGAAAGAAGAAGTAAACTTTTGGTGTTTACAATGGCGTCATGTTGCTAAAACTAGATATGAAAAGCGCTCTACGGCAATCACATAGCGATTTGGCACTTAGCCTACCCCCTTCGGTGCGGCTTTGTAGTCTCTCCGCTAATCCAACAATTTACATCGACACCAAGAACCCAAGGCTGAACCTTCTCAGCATCCGCATGCACATGCTGAGGTACATCGTATCATCTTACCTAACCAGAATTCTCCAGACGTCGTCGAGCGTGTTCAACCTTAGCGTTCAGCAATGCAACCTCTGCTTTCTTCTTCTCCATTCAATTTAGCCTGGCTAGGTCTCTGCAGGTCTCTCCGTGGTCTCCTTCGACGCCTTGAGATCTGCGTTCTCTTTCTCTAACCTCGCATTCTGCTGCTCAAGCTCCTGAATTCTCGCTGCGGGGTCCAATGCCTGCTTCAAAGCAGTGATAAGCCGGTTGTCCAGTGTCTGGGCTTCATACTGGGCGATTTCGAGTCTCATCTTGGCTATACTTAGATGCTCATGCGTGAAGAGCTTGTCGACGCGCAGATTGTCGATTTCTTTGTCCTTCAAACCAGAGAGTTGAGCAACCTTTAAGTCGAATTGTTCTTTTAGGTGAGCAATCAGTGCCTGCAGTGGCGCGTAAACCGTCTTCATGACCTCGTGGCGCAATCTCTCGGCGTCACGTTCTTGGGTCCGCAACGCCGCTTCCTCATCGTACAGCTGGATGGTCAGGTCTGTTAAGGCACCCTCGGAAGCTCTCTCATGTTCTCTATCATCGAGCTGTGCTTTTTGTAGCTTAGCAATGTGCTGGCTGGTGCTCTCGATAGCGGTCTTGACCTCAGCAATCGCTTCGCCAGCACGTTGGCCTTCGGAAACAAGAAGATCTATTGCATCATGCATTCTTCGCAAACACACATAAATTGCGACAAAAGGCGTCTCCTTTTTGTCTAGCTCCAAGGTTGTTTTGACCCACTCCAGGAAATCGTCTTGTGTTGTGGCCTTATGCGTCGCGTCCTCTGTTGATGGAGTAGTCGCGGATGGTATCGCTGCAGATACAGGATTGTCCGGACTGAACAGCCCGCAGACTGCGGATAGCCACTCTTGCGTACTCTCCATATGCCGTTGACCAAAGGGACTTCCCGCTGGACTTCCGGTAGAGTCATGCTTGCTGGAAACGCCCTGAACACCGGGGAGGCCGTTGTCATCTGGCCTTTGGAAGTGCAAGCCACCCTCATCAGCTGATGTAGGCGCCATGGATTCCTCAGTCTGGCCTTCGGCTGGTGGGTGGGGAGAGGACGGGAGGAAGCGGGATCCCTGAGAATTGTTTTGGGAGTTATGATCTGTGCACGTTTGCTCTGAAGCAGTCTCAGTATCGACTGGTGAGCTGCCGTCTGACTTTTCAGGGGCTTGCGATCTGTTTTGTTTGGCTCTCTCGTTAGTCGACGACGCGCCGGGCATGATGTAATCTGAGAATGATACGGTCGCGTTCTGTAGGTGTTTGGTCGTCCGACGTGTGTCGCGCTGCAGGAGTGATAATGTGGTCGTACCTTCGGGGCGGTCTATCAGGCAGGCAGTTGTATTTCCCGGAAGTCGGTCAGGTTTTGGAAAGCAGTGTAAGTGTCAGGGTTAGGCGGGAGTTGCGATGGAAGTTGTTGGTGCTTGTTTGTTGTATGTCATAACGGGAAATCGCGCTGGGACCTGCTCTATAGCCTTGCAGAACAGTCTATAAAGTGACTGGCTCTTATAACACAATCAGTCACCCTTCGTTCTTCGTAATCAACTCTACCCGACGTCGCCTGTATAATCTTCTCTCATTGCGCAACCTTTTAAGAAAGATTTCGACCTAGTCCAACTCTTCAAACCCGTCGGCTCGACCAGACTTCAACTACGTAGAAATGCCAGAAGAGATGCCAGAAAGTAGCGCCCAAGAAAAGCGCGACTACATCAAGGCGTTGAAAATACAGATAGAGGCAGCAGAGGAAGAAGATAGGAGGCTAGAAAGAGATCTAGAAGAGCGAAGGCAGGAGCTGGAGGAGCTGGAGGCCAAAATTAGGGATAAAGAGGGATAGATCATCAAGGAAGACGTCCGTATGAAGAAGGGAAGGAAGCAATGGGTACCAGTACTAGGCAGAAGCGCAGCTTCGTTCAAGTCTGGTTGATGTATGACATCCTCGCGTTTATTCCCACAGAACGCAAGATGGTAGTAATACCACAAGCATATGCGCAGTTGAATTTGGACAAAGCTAGTAAATTGCAGTTGGTTCCCATGGTGCTCGTTGTTCAAGGATCGTGTTGATGAATGCATGCAAAGGCCGCGACGTGAAGGCAAGACTGCAAATATAATGACATCTGCCACTTCCTGAGTCGAATGCGAAACCCGAACGGTGAAAGCTCAAACCCCACAAATATCAGAACAGCGTGGCCTCTTGGGAGTTTGGTGGGAGATTCGCGATAGCTCAGGGACGGAGCTACGGCTAGCGCGCGCACGGGTAATTTCCCCAGCGACACGTTGCGAAAGCTCATGAAGCAAACCCCCTCTCCATCTTCCATCAACTGGCTGTTCGTAACCACCTTCTTCACCTTCTCGTTGTCTTCTTTCTTGTCTCTGGGCCATAGTTCGCAATCATGAGCGGCCGTAAGTCTCCATCTCACCTGTCAATGGCCCGGCGAGGCGTGCGCGCAACGCCTGCGAGGAATTAGTTACGGCGCGGACGAACACCACAGCTAACGGTTGCACGTAGTACGGTTCCTCGATCTCGTCAAGCCTTTTGTGCCTCTGGTGCCTGAAATTCAGCTGCCAGAGAGCAAGGTTCCTTTCAACAACCGCCTGGTATGGACCGGTCTGACCCTCCTCGTCTTCCTCGTCATGAGCCAGATGCCGCTCTACGGAATCGTGTCGTCTGATACCTCCGACCCGCTATACTGGCTCCGCATGATGATGGCGAGTAACAGAGGAACGCTGATGGAACTGGGTATCACCCCCATCATCACCTCCGGCATGGTTTTCCAGCTCCTCGCGGGAACCCACCTCATCGACGTCAACCTCGACCTCAAGTCTGATCGCGAGCTCTACCAGACCGCCCAGAAGCTCCTCGCTATTCTCCTGTCTTTTGGTCAGGCCGTCGTCTATGTCATCTCGGGTCTCTACGGACAGCCATCCGACCTCGGTGCCGGTATCTGCGTTCTCCTCGTCATTCAGCTGATGATCGCTGGTCTGATCGTTATCCTCCTCGACGAGCTCCTCCAGAAGGGCTACGGTCTCGGCAGCGGTATCTCGCTCTTTATCGCCACTAACATTTGCGAGTCCATCATGTGGAAGGCCTTCTCGCCCACCACCATCAACACTGGTCGCGGTCCTGAGTTCGAGGGTGCTCTCATTGCCCTTGTCCACCTGCTCTTCACCTGGCCCAACAAGACTGTTGCGCTCAAGGAGGCTTTCTACCGCCAGAACCTCCCCAACGTTATGAACTTGATCTCCACCGTCATCGTTTTCGGTGCTGTCATCTACCTCCAGGGCTTCCGCGTTGAGATCCCCGTCAAGTCAGCCCGCCAGCGTGGTGTCCGTGGCTCATACCCCGTCCGCCTGTTCTACACCTCCAACATGCCCATCATGCTGCAGTCGGCTCTGTCCTCCAACGTCTTCTTGATCAGCCAGATGCTCTACAACCGTTTCTCCGACAACCTCCTCGTCAAGCTTCTCGGTGTCTGGGAGCCCAAGGAGGGTTCCGCTCAGCTTTTCGCTACCTCCGGTGTCGCCTACTACATGTATGTCTAGTCATAGTTCACGCTACAGAACCAGCCACTAATCAGCTCCAGGTCTCCCCCTCTCAGCATCACCGAGGCCCTCTCCGACCCCTTGAAGACCGCCATCTTCATCGTCTACATGCTCGTCGCTTGCGCTGTCTTCTCCAAGACCTGGATCGAGGTTTCCGGCTCGTCTCCCCGCGATGTCGCTAAGCAGCTCAAGGAGCAGGGTCTGGTCATGGCTGGTCACCGTGAGGAGTCCATGTACAAGGAGCTCAAGCGCGTCATTCCTACCGCGGCTGCCTTTGGTGGTGCCTGCATTGGAGCTCTGTCCGTCGGCAGCGACCTTCTCGGTGCTCTCGGTAGCGGTACTGGTATTCTCCTTGCCGTAACCATCATCTACGGATACTTCGAAATTGCCGCCAAGGAGGGCGACATGGCCGGCCTCAAGGGCATGGTCATGGGCTAGATTAGCCCATAGGGATATTGGATTTTTGATTTGAACGACGGATGGGTTGGGGCTGGGGTGCTTCGCCGCACATTGTAACATATGATCTAAGAACAAAAGTTTACGAAGGTCTCTGGCATCACTTTACGTACTGCAGCGTGGCGTCTGGCTAGGCTCACGATGTCGGCCCTTCTCTAATGTATCATTGTTAACCCTTAAACTGCGTTTGGACCTGATCGCACCTGCAGTAAACACTTGAAGCACTCACGTGCTCAGCCTTGGCGTGTTGCTCCTCCACCTTACTCATCGAGCTTCAGTCATTCTTGCTCTGTCTGTTGCTTGCACCTACCTTGGTAGGTATTGCATCCAACGACAGGTATGCCTCAGCCGTCATCAAGAGCCCACGTCATGGATTCAACCTTCACCAGCAGCGTCGCATTGGTCAGCTTAGCGAATGCGAAATGTGGCTTACGTGCGTACCAAACCGCCACGCTAACGCACGCTGCGGTCTGCGATGCGAAAGCCTGGGCATTGCGGCCTAGGAAACATCGTCACACACGGCATTGAGGCGTTTTACACATGGGTAATGCGAGGATTAAGCGAATGCGATGTACTGCTGCGGATGCGAAATCTGGTCATGATGCAGTGCGTGTCTTCAGTTTGGACGACTACATAAGATGGGCTTGTCGCTGTTGAAGGTGAGGTATTGCAGCTATCTATTTTACCTCTTCCTCGAGTTCTAGTACTCGTACTTGATCGATTCGCTCGGATTGCGGTTAAACCGTCATCATGGCAAGCTCACTTAGCATCGC